TCAAAGCCTACCCTCTGCTGAGAGCAGGCTGGGCCTGGCGGGGCGGGGGCGCTGCTAAACCAACCCCTCAGGTCTTGCGCTGGGCCCCGTCCAGGGCCTCAGCAGCTGCGATCTTCTCCTCAGCTCCTGCAGCTCCCACCTTTAGCAATCAACAGCCCGGTGTGATTTTTACCCCCCACCGCTCGCTCCCTTCGGAGGGTCTCCGAGTCCCTGCTTAAGCTCGGAGCCGGAGCAGATGGAAAGCGACGGTGCCCAAGCTGTTTGCCCACAGTGCTATGGACCGGGTGGTCCTGAGCAGCGGCGGGCAGGGGGGGAGCCGCGGGTACTGCCTGGGCAGGGCAAACGGGGATGGGAGGTAGAGGAGAGAGTGGGAGAGCAAGGCAGGCGGCCTGTCTCGCTCTGCCTTGCTTTCCCTCCCCAACATGGGTGTCAAACACGCGGCTGGGTACTAAGGTCTCTCTTCTGCCTCATTAGCGGAGGGAGGCCGCACCGTGAAGTAATTCACAGCTCAAGGGAGCATGAGATTAATTGCTGAGTCGGCAGTGGTCTGTTTACTGCCCCCAGGAGGGGCCGGAGTTAGATAACCAGTAACTGCATCACAGGAACATCCTGGCGGCGGGGAAGGGAGGAGAGGGAGCAGAGGGATGCACGCGCAGTGGAAAGCCTGACATTTTGGAGCTCCCGTCTCGGTTCTGCCTCTGATTCGGTCTGTGGCCTCAGTCGGGTCGTTTCCCCCTTCATGCCGCAGCATGCCACCTGGGAGCTGAAGATAATGTCCCTGCCGGCTGTGCGGGGAGCGGTGAGGGATGGCGCTCTCTTACTGAGCGCTGGGAGATGTGAGAAGTGGAGGATTATGGAGAAAGGCTCCCTGGGTCCTGAATACAGGCAGCATTTCTCCTGCCATGCGGCCCCTTTTCTTAGGCAAAGGCTGAAGCAGAACTAATGCTTTTCTCTTCTGTTTCCTCCCCTACAGTCATCAATAAATTTGACTACGTCTTTGCAGAGAATGGTACCGTGCAGTACAAGAACGGGCAACTGGTCTCCAAGCAGGTAGGCCCAGCGGCTCTCGCAAACACAGCGCTCCTTCCCCATCCCTGGGTGTCCCGTGAGCACCGTGGGGAGCAGTGTCTGGTCCCGTTCAGAAGGGCAACCTCCTCAGTTCTCCCCCAGCAGCCAGGTTTGACTGTCCCACTCCTGTTCGCCTTCTTGGGCTGGAGCAGGTGCTGGAGCCTGCTGTTGGCTATTGACTGTCCTGGGGCTCATGTTTCCTGGCCGAGACAGCCAGGACCACCTCAGCTGTGGCAGCTGCTTAGCCCCAGGAGAGGCTCTGCGACTGATGCTCCTGTGGTGCCCTAGAGCCAAACAGGCCAGAAAAACCCTGCTCCTGCTGTCTCATGCTCTCCTTGCTATGTACTGTCCACATCTCGTAGAAAAGCCTAGTCTAAAAAAGCTTTGCCCGCTTTCCTGTGGGCCTCTCTCCCTGACAAGTTAGCGGGAACCTGGGCTTCATGTGTCCTACAGCTTCTTCCTCAATCCCCCGTCTCCCCCCCTTAGGCCATTCAGGACCACCTGGGAGAAGAGCTGCTGCAGGATCTAATCAACTTCTGTCTCAACTACATGGCGCTGCTGAAGCTGCCCAAGAAACGGTAAAGGCTCAGTCCTGCACAAACGGGAGTCATGTCACTGACTTCTCAGGCCTCCAGAGCCCTCCGAAGAACAGCTGGGCTACTGAGCCTGTCTTTGCTCCAGGTCCGGCAGGTTTTATCTTAGTATCTAGAGGCCCTGTATGGGATCAGTGTCCCATTGAGCTGAGCACTGTGGGCAAACCATATAGGAGAGTCTTTGTTCTGGAGAGTTTGCGCTATTTATTGGCATAATGCCTGCTCTTTTCTCCCTCAGACTTCCTTCCCTCAGGAACAGGGTACGGCCACTGCCCGCATTTTTTTTAAAAACAATGGTAACAGCTCGTTCCGCTCAGAGCATCAGGGGTGAGCGGTTGTGTGAGGCTCCAAACAGACAAAGGATGGGAGGGCTGAAGTCTTCATATGAGAAGTCCAGAGGCCGAGCACATGGTCTTGCACTGCATCTAACCCCGTGTCACCTCAAGGCGCTGGTGATAGGGCTGGCTCTGCTCTGCTCCCAGCCTTGTGCTCCTCTGCTTCCCCTGCATCGGATCCAGCCTCATAGGGTGAGGTTGTTCATCTGGCCTGAAGGAAAACCAGTCCACCACAAGGAAAGAAAAGGATAGTTTTCCTATTAGATCAGCTTGCCTTGTTATCACACCATTGCTAGATGCAGCAGAAACAAAGGAGAGGGAACAGATGGCGTGGACGTGGAAGGGGAGAGCAGGATGGCCTTTTTCACAGGCAGCCTGCAGTTAAACCAGTCTGGGTGTAGCGTCAAACCACCCCTCAGACTACAATTTCAGAAATGCTTGAAGCCAGCGTGAGCCAGCGATGCAGTCAAAAGAAGCCGTACTGCCCTCCCCTTGACCGGGCCGGTTACACCTGCTCTCTCCCGGGTTTCAGCACCAGTATTTGTACGGTGAACCTGTACAGGGGAGTGTGTGATCTGGTTGAAGTTAAGACTATAAAAGAAAATTGCTAAACTGTGATGTAAATCAGTCTTTTGATCTGAGTCACCATGTGGCAACATGAGCGCTTGTGAGAGGGGCCAGGATGGCTGGCTCCTTTCAGCGGGAGTGCTGGCTAAACATGCCCCCGAAACTGGGCTGGGGCCCAGACTCCTCAAGGCTGTCTGGCTGCCTCATTGCTGTCTGGTTGCCCAACACCAGCGAGGTTTCAGCTCCTAAATGCCTCTGTGGGTTTAAGCTTATGGGATTTTTAGCAAAGCAAGGGCTTGAACCCTTCTCTCCCTGGGGCATGAACAACCAGACCCTTGGTGCTGCCGATGTGCTGCCCAGCAGGCTGTAGGCATGGTGGCCCGCGTGTCCTTCCCCCTTCACTCTGCTATGAGACAGGAGGTGGAGAGCTTTTCCTCAGACTCCGTGGTAAGCCCTTTGTCGCAGAGCAACAGCAGACAGGGCTGGGAGGGACGCCAGAGGGTTAGTGAGTTTAGGGCTCCTCAGCTGGGAAGGGAAGGGGATCTGTTTTCAAGTCGGCTGGGCTGCTGTCCCTTGTTGTTTGCAACGCTGGTCCTGGCTGAACCCCTAAAAAGCTATTCCAAGGTGCGAAGTCAACAAAATTGGCCAGGTTTCTAGCAGAGAGAAAAGAAGGGAATAGTTTTCTGCCAGCTTAGTGTTTTGAACCATCCCACTGAGGGACTGGCAGAGCAGTAGTGCCAGTGTAGGATGAGGGTGGCGAGCAGGAAACTCAGTCACTGTGTTGCAAGCTGAGATAAGAGCCAGGGTCAAAGAGGCGGGGGGGGGACACACAAAGGCCCTGTGGGTCCTACGTGATCTGTGTCCCCTGATAAGGTGATGATTACTCATCAGCCAGCACCTTACATCAGTAGGGAGTTACACTGACCTGCTCCATCCTTCTTGCCCCAAAGTACCACCGACTCCACCCAACACAGATAATGTTTCTTAAAAGCCTCTGGAGTGGAGATGCCACAGTCTGAACAGGAAGCTGGTGCAGAAAATCTTTCCTAGCATCTCCCCTAAGCCCGTCTCCCAGCCCGTCCCTGGGGCACACAAGCATGGTTTATTCCTCTTCTCTTTGCAGTCTCCTTTCATGAAATTGTGAGCCCCTTGGAGACCTTAAGTAGAGTTGCTGAAGCCTGGGCTCGGCCTGCTGCAGCAGGGCTCTTGGGCAATCTTTGAGGCTCTTGTATACCTGAAGCACGAGCACCCATGGGTGGACATGGCTTCTTTCCTGCCGCGTTTTCCTGTAGGTACTGAGCAGTCATTCCCCTGGAAAGGTTTGTTTTTCTCTGCCTGCCCCCGTTGTAAAACCCTCCAGTGACCTTGTGCCCTTGCCTCTGTACAGAGGGACCTTCATCGAGTTTCGCAATGGGATGCTGAACATCTCCCCCATCGGACGGAGCTGCACACCAGAGGAGCGAATTGAGTTCTCCGAGTTGGACAAGGTATGTGGGCCCACCTCGGGCTCACCCTGTGCTGATCTTGCACCGCCACAGCTCTTGGGTCTTATCTGCTTCTCCTCAGCTCCAAGCTGTGCACCAGGCCAATACATGCAGCAAGGTGGAGGCAGGACTGAGGGTCAGAAAGCCCAAGGAGAAACATAGATAAAAGGAAGAATTTGGCTTCATTGGGGGCCACCAAGGCAACGGGGCTGCCAGCAGTGTTCCTTGTGCTGTGGGATTTCCCCCAGGGAATAAGACACTTATTTCACAGGGTGTTTCCTTGTCCACAATAGCCAAAGATGGAATTCCCCTGAAAATCTTAAAAGGCCTGAAACCTCCCAGCTCAGGTCACCCTTCCAGGATGGCCTAGCAGCCCTCTTCTCTCTGCCAGCTTTAAAAGAGCTGGAACCAGTGGGCTTCCCAGACTGGGAGGGCCATGGCAGATCTCTGAAGTGTTAGGCCTGTGGGAGCCTAACTCCCACAGCAATTTCTGCCTGTGGGAGTTTTCTTTGGAAACGGGGATCAGTCAGACTTTGCAAGACGTGAAAGCAAAGCTGGAAACTTTGGTTTATGAACTTGGCTTCTGGGAAATTGAAGCAGACGCATTTCGTTGCCAAGGAGGGTGTGTGATCTGCTGTTCCCAGTAGTTTGCTGAAGCTGGCCTAAGCTAACGTCCTTATAAGTGGGCCTTGGGCAGGATGGCTGAGAACTGGTTAAACGCCGTTAAACCCTCCAGGAGGAGGGGGGTCAGACAAGAGGGAACGGAAGGCAGTCAGTTCAGCCTCCGCTCAGGATCCCGCAGAGCGTAGTTTCCTTGGGGCTCAGGGAGGTGGGAACGGGGAGTGGGATCAGAGCAGAGAAATGCGCCAGAGTTGCCCAGCAAACACTTCTCAGCAGATTATGGTAGACTGTCAACATCTAATTATTCAAACCCTTCTTCCTCCCCTTTCCTCTTCCTCCATAGAAAGAGCGGATCCGGGAGAAGTTTGTGGCAGCCTTGCAGAGGGAGTTTGCTGGCAAAGGCCTGCGTTTCTCTCGAGGTGAGCAGAGGGTGCTACCCTGGCTTTGCATCGGCCTCTTTGTTGCGTTTCCCGTTACGTTCTGGGAAGGGGAGTGGGAATCGTGGCTGCTCCCTCCAGGGGCATGGTTGGGTGAGCGCTGGAGCTGTGCTCCCCAGTGGGACCCCGGGAAGAGCACAAAGAGCTGCTATTCCTGGAGAGCTGTTTTGAGGGTGTCGCGTTCACAGCAGGGAAACGGGCAGAGAATAAACTGTGCTGTAGATTTTCTTCTCAGGGAATTGGGCATACAGACCGGTTTCTGTCCCATGATGTTTTCTGTACCTTAGACTAGTTCTGTGAGCCCACCCCTGCGCAGGAGGTCTGTTTGGGTTCAAGCATCAGCAACAGGGTTGCCGGCAGAGCTCTAGGCACATCCTGTCCTCTGCGCAGACTCCTCTAGGCGTGCAGCAGCGTTAAGAGAGAAAGGAGCCTCACAGTTTGTCGCCTCTGGAGCTTTGTTTGGAGCTGCCAAGGGGCAGCAAGTTTGCCAGTCCACACCACGGCCTTTTGCAGGGCCGCTTCTTGGGGGGGGGGAGCTGCACTTTTGCAGCCAACTTAGCAAAGGTGAGGAACCGAAGGAGGGGCTGAGCTAACTTGGGAACACGGCCAGGACGGGGAGGAAAATGAAGTTATGTAAAGTGATGGGGCCAAAATTGGAAGAGGCCCTCTGCAGAGAGGATGGGTATGTGTTAGCGTAAGGAGGTGCCACATAGATATCTAGCCAAAGGGCAAGGGGATGATGAGGCTGGGACGCAGCAGGTGACGCTCCACTCTCGTGCACAGCACCAGCCAGTACAGAGCGTTTGGCCCTCTGGTCTTCCAAGAGCTTTCATCCGGAGCGTGTCCCCTCCCCTCTCCCTTCAGTGTCCTGCCAAGAGTGTCTTGTGCTGCCCACAGCATTGACACAGACCATTTGTCGTAGCAGAGAAAGACAGAGGCCCCACAGCCGTGTCCCTGGGGGCACAGGGGACAAGAGCAGAACAATGGGCTTTTCTCCTCTGACTTTGGGAAGCTGCCATCGAGAGCCCCAGCCCCTGGTGTAAAAGCGCCAAGACAACGGGAGCTGCGGGCTCCCAGCTCCTCTGCAAAGAAAGCACGAGGTGTCTTGGGTCAGGCATCCAAAACCAGGGACGCATGACAGCATGTGACAGGCTGGCTCCAAGCGCCTCGTCCCAGGCTGCAGAGGGCACGAGCCCCAGCAGCGATGGGAGATCTCGCTGCAGCCCCCCAGACCCGTGCTTTGCCCAGACCGGGGATGGTGCTTGCTGTCCTTGACGCAGGCCTCCCTCCCCTCTCTGATTTCCTCCCCGCTCCAGCTGTCATCGGGAGCCCTTCTTGCTGCCCCGCTCTATTTAAAAGGACAGAACACAGAGAAATGCAGCATTTTTCACAGGTAAATGACCCTGGATGCAAAAGGAGGAAGGATTTTGGTGAGGGCACTCTCCTGGTGAATGGGCGGTCAGGTTTATTTCCTGCTCTGCTGCAGGCTCCTTGTGTGAGCCTGGCCACATCCCCGTCCCTGATCTCCTAGGGCACTTGCTCCCTTCGGTATTACAGTGCCTTGCCTGGGTCACCCTGTCTCCTAGTGAGTCCTCTGCCCTGAGCTGGGCACACAGGCTCCTTGCCCCGTGAACGGGGAAGCAGCAGCAGGTTAGGGGCCCCCAAACCAACGGGGCACCTCAGCTAGCTGAGGAGCAGAGAACGACATCAACACGTACACTCCTGAGCAGCCTGAGGGATGGGTGCCTCTCCTCCAGCAGGGACCTTCCGCGGCGGGTGACTGTCCCCTTCCTAAGAGAGGTGGGGATTACTGTTTGTGAGGAAAGAGGGTGAAAGCTGCTGTTAGCCTGGTAGGTTGCCTAGAGAAACAGGCAAACTACATCACCCCACTGGGGACCCAGTGGAGCAAGGATCTGAACTGGGGGGTGAGGGACGTCCCGGTTCAAACCCATGTTCCTCCGGGCTGCAAGTCAGACCCAAACATACCTGCGCCCTAAAACGTGGGCTTTGACTGTTCTTGGGGGAGCATTTCTCTGATGCTGCTCCTGTCTGCGTCAGCTTGCTGCTGGGGCAGGGGACTAACTGTGCAGCCTGGGTGCAGAGGAGAACTGGATTCAAATCCCTTTTTCCACGCAGTGCGGAGCAGAGGACAGGGAATGCGCTGCCTGGGGATAACTCCGCCTGACCTAGAGCAAGGTTTCTCACTTTTTTTTTTTTTTAGGCAGTACTGCGCGTGTGAATGTCCACACGCATACGTGCTCTCTGGGAAAGCTCCCTTACCTCTGTATGTCTTCTCCATCTGCCTTGACACCTCTCCAGCTGTCGGCAGGCTGCGGTCAACTCTTGTGA